AAAACATTGGTAGCAAACGGTAACCAGTTCATCTTTAAATACTTTTAATGTTACAATATCGGACCACAAAACTTTTTCTCTATCGAAATGTAAAACAAAATTCGTTTTAATTTGTTCCTGCAAATGTTTTATATTAAAAAAATCTATACAGTTCATTTCTATAATTTTGCATAAAGTGCCAGCTTTTTTGCATTGGAAATTACAGTAATCCACTGCGAAGGAGTGTAAAAGCTCAATGCGTTTAATTTATTTTGGGCAAGTTGCAGTGGTGCGTTATAGAGCTGTTTTAATTCAATATGATCATGAGTTAGGCAAATGGAATATCTGCAGCTTGTTTTCCGATTTATTTTTTTTTTAAGTTGCTATCACTGTAAAAACATTGGTAGCAAACAGTAACCAGTTCATCTTTAAATACTTTTAATGTTACAATATCGGACCACAAAACTTTTTCTCTATCGAAATGTAAAACAAAATTCGTTCTAATTTGTTCCAGCAAATGTTTTATATTAAAAAAATCTATACAGTTCATTTCTATAATTTTGCATAAAGTGCCAGCTTTTTTGCATTAGAAATTACAGTAATCCACTGCGAAGGAGTGTAAATAGGACCAGATCTGAGCACATATTTCTTCTGTTTTTTAATGCTCTTTATTTTGCGTATGACCAACAACCAAAAACTTTAAAGTGATCGAAAAAATATCGAGTTTGCTTACTATATAAAGAAGTAACTAGGTTAGAAATTTGTTTCTATTTTTACCATAGCAATTGTCACAACAAAACAGAACAGGAAAGCCTTCATAATTTTCCTTCATAAGCCTTCATAATCAAAGAGCATTCATTTCTAAGAAATGAGTATAAATATGAACCTATCTCGTTAGATTCATGTTTACCTTCTCCATCGTGCCAAACGTAGCAGAAACCATTTAATAATCCTAAGTCAAATACAGTAAAGTTATACGTACTTAGCTTTGATTTACAGTAAAAGGAGTTGGTGTCCCCACAAGGTGTCTGAAGAACTTTCTGTAAATCAAAATAGACAGTAATACACTAACGGGCTTTGCTTCTTTGTTTATATTTACTTTTTTAATACTTCCTAGTATCTTTTTCGTAATAGTAATAGATCTTTTTCCTTTAAATGACGTAAATTTACAGGAAAGTTAAATTAAAAATTTAATTTTCCTGTAAATTGACCTTACTCTTCGCATTTTTATACTCTTCACATGTACCGCAGTGGTCTTTCTTAGGATAAAAAAATGGTATAATGAACTAATTTTTAAAAATGTATGAGAATATAATGACATTCGCATAACTATTATTTCCCCATAACTATAAATTGTTTTATAATTTACAACTATTTGCTGAAGCCATCTTTATAGCTATATTTTGACCGATCAGCCATTTTTCTATGACAAATTCGAAAAACACATTTTTAACAAACACAAAACACACCACAATTTTGTTTCAGAATAATGTGATAGTAATGTCAAGACCTACCGCTATTGGTAAATAAGAGTAGTATAACACACTTAAGTTAAAAAAATAAATAAATATTGCTGTAACACTGTCATAAGTGAGTTGTTACACTGTTAATGAATAAAGTTCAACAAAAATAGATATGCTAATAATATATATTAATGTTAAATAATCATATAATAATAATATAACCATAATCGATTAAACTGAGGGAACAAGAAATGCGCATAAACCATCTTACTAAGAACAAAAAAATGCGCATCTGGATGGGTAAACTTTTGCGCGCACGACATCCGAATGAAGTCAGTCAAAACGATGTCGACAATATAGCGTCGAACTATTGGCTGACATCAGGAAAGATATTTCCTGAAACAGAAGGTTTATTACTCGCCACTCAGGATCAGGTTATACCAACCAAAAATTACCTGAAATATATCGTCAAACCTCTTTGGCCCCTTAGATCCAAAACGACAAATGCCGACATGGATGTCAAGCCTAAGAAAATATCCAACATCTTACCGGGGGCTGCCAGGCATTTGCTGCCACTGAATATAAGGAACGGAATGACTCAGTACGGAACTTCTATCAGTACGACTCTTCATCAAGAGATAGCTTTTGAACTGGGACTTCTACAAACAAACCATCACTCAATTTATCAATACGTTCCTGAGAGTATGCTTAAGAATGACAACCAAAGATTTTGTTTTTAAAAAGAAAATAAACTTGAAATATTTTTGTGGTGAAAAACTTTTATTAGATCGACTGTTATTTAATTTCGTCTGAAAGAATATTCCAAGACACATCATCTATCTAACGCTATTTATCGACTTACTAATCTGCGTTTTGACTGATTCTATCCAATTGCCTTCTTTAGTCATGGATCTTAAGAATGTCGTCTTCTTACACCAGTGTTCTTCAAATTAAGTCAGTGGTTCAGATATGGAGGGGTTATTTAACTGGCAATTCTCTACTTAAGAGAGCACAGATTAACAAAATTGTACACTTAACTTAAATACAAGATGTAATAATATATATATATATATATATATATATATATATATATATATATATATATATATATATATATATATATATATATATATATATATATATATGTATAATTGTAATACATAATAAGATAAGTAAGATACATATATCTAGTAAACCTAAAGCTAAGATTAATACTATTACACAAATAAATATTAAACTCAATAATCTTCTGGGTTGAACCGCGTTGATTCTCATTGCTCCAAGCTTTCGACGTCCTCTCTAATGTATTCTTTAGGGCTTTCGAAGTCTCAGTCTCCCGAGCCTCCATACACTACTAGACTGATCACCTATCAGTTATTTTGATGACGTGTCTATAAGGTCGGACTTGCCATTGTCAAGTCAGGTAGTAACGCTTCTTGATGATTCTTGTAGTAGAAAGACTACTTCACGCATCAGCAAAAAACGTTCCTACCTCACTTGACAATCGCAAACCTTGCCGAAAGATCGTCAAAATAATGGTTTCTTAATATTGTTCTGAAGCTATTTTCTTGTGGCATTGTAAATTAATTACTATTAAACTGGGAATAAGCCACAATTAAAGATAAAAACACATTTATTGACGTTTCAATTTCCACTTCGGAAATCGTTCTCAAAATACAAACAGTAAATTAAACAAATTTTGTTTTTTGTTACATAGTGAAAAATTCTTCTAATAATTTAATTTTATCTGACTCATTTATATTGACAATTCAGACATACATTATGCATTTTAAAATAGACGACTTTAAAATGATATTGCCAATATTGTTGAGTTGCGCTCCTGGGACGACTTTACTTATAAGATAGTTCATTCGATTACATGAAATCAACTTTAACTTGAGAATATCCGTCAGAAAAAATCATAGCATGTAATTCGTCTTTAAAAAGACAAACACATGACATGATGACAGTAAAATTCTCCTGTTAGTGATTCCATAGTAAATTATGAGGGAAAACCAGGAAAAAACCTCATAATACTATCCCGACATTGTAAGTATTTGTTCGTGAATTTAGTTTACCTTCAACAAACATCAAAATTCTGATTTTATATGTTACGTTATTTAAAAAACATAAATGATGTATCCTCTATATGTTACTGACTTACTAATACTGGTATTTTCTTATTAATAACTTCCTCTTTCAATATTGGTAACCAGATCCTACTACATTCTGCCGAAGAATTTGCGACACAATTAATTATGTTAAATGAGGCCAATTGTGTCGCAAATTCTTCGGCAGAATGTAGTAGGATCTGGTTACCAATATTGAAAGAGGAAGTTATTAATAAGAAAATACCAGTATTAGTAAGTCAGTAACATATAGAGGATACATCATTTATGTTTTTTAAATAACGTAACATATAAAATCAGAATTTTGATGTTTGTTGAAGGTAAACTAAATTCACGAACAAATACTTACAATGTCGGGATAGTATTATGAGGTTTTTTTCCTGGTTTTCCCTCATAATTTACTATGGAATCACTAACAGGAGAATTTTACTGTCATCATGTCATGTGTTTGTCTTTTTAAAGACGAATTACATGCTATGATTTTTTCTGACGGATATTCTCAAGTTAAAGTTGATTTCATGTAATCGAATGAACTATCTTATAAGTAAAGTCGTCCCAGGAGCGCAACTCAACAATATTGGCAATATTATTTTAAAGTCGTCTATTTTAAAATGCATAATGTATGTCTGAATTGTCAATATAAATGAGTCAGATAAAATTAAATTATTAGAAGAATTTTTCACTATGTAACAAAAAACAAAATTTGTTTAATTTACTGTTTGTATTTTGAGAACGATTTCCGAAGTGGAAATTGAAACGTCAATAAATGTGTTTTTATCTTTAATTGTGGCTTATTCCCAGTTTAATAGTAATTAAAATAATGGTTGTTCTCAAAATAAAAATTATCCAACATGGAGTCAAACCCCCGGAAAACCACAGAAAGCATATATATATATATATATATATATATATATATATATATATATATATATATATATATATATATATATATGTATATATATATATATATTTTAGTTGGACAATATATCTCCTGTAGTAATGTCCTGAGAGGAACTATATTATTATGCAGTTTCATAGTGGCCTTTTTAGATTTTCTTTATTTGCGTTAATATAATTTTAATTTTATTTTTGATATTTTAAGTCTATTAGTTTGTGTTTATTTATAAAAATGTGTACTTACACTGAATATGTTTTGCATTTATGAAGATCTACATTTCAGTAATTTGTTCTTATTTGGAGTTGATTAAAATAAAACGACTCTTATACTTTATGGTTAAAAAAATTGTAACCGCCCAGATTAAAGGAAACCCATAAACAGTTGTGCTAAATATAGGTATAAAAACTAATACATTTGTTTTGTTTATATGCAAATCATGCAGATATACAATAAAGTGATAACAACCACAATACTGATATTATATCTACCGTATCACTTTTCGCCGCCACTGCTTGCTATCTTGCATTCTATTCCTCATTGAATGTGATAAATTGAACTTCAGTACGTTATTTAAAACGAACTAATCGGCAACACAATTTGTTCACAAAAAGCATCTGATCTAACATTACAAACACAATCAAAATGTTTTTGAGCGTAGTGTATTTTGTGCTAGCGTTTTCTAATTTGTGCCAGGGTTTAGAAATTCTATCATTAAACGGAAAATGGATACTAAGCGACAGCACAAAAAAGTATAATAACATAAAGGCGGCAGTTCCTGGTGGAATATACAGTGATTTAATGAACAGTGATATAATTGGAGATATTCATTACGGGTTTAATGACCGCGATTTAAAATGGGTGCCTCGATTGAACTGGACTTACACAAAAACGTTTGTTTTATCGCAAGATCTCATAAACAATGAAAATGTATACTTAGTGTTTGACGGTTTGGATACTTTTTCCAATATATATCTAAACGGGGCTAAAATCGGTGAGTCAAAAAATATGTTTGTGCAATACATCTTTCCTATAAAAAATTATCTTAAAGTTGGTAATAATACTCTCACAATAAATTTCTTATCGCCTATAGAAATTTCGTCTACAATAGCCACAGAACAGGCAAAAAATTACACTGTACCACCAGACTGTCCTGCAGCGGAGTACAATGGAGAATGTCACGTTAATATGGTTAGAAAAATGCAAGCTTCGTTTTCTTGGGACTGGGGCCCATCTTTTCCTTCAGTTGGAATCTGGAAAGATGTTTATATTCAAGCTTTCAGTGAATCTGTGATTCGATATGTCGTTAGTGATGTTAGTGAACAAAATCAAGATTATTGGAACCTCAATGTTGATGTTTACTTAGCTAATAACATAAAAAATAGAGTATCCGGAAAAGTATTAGTGGAAATTGCACTTAATTTTGTAAATTTTGCAAAGGTAATAGACATTAATGCAACTGAAAACAGTAATCAAGAAATTGTTGCTAGCATAACTGTATCAGTACCAAAACTTTATGTGAACAGTTGGTGGCCCAATGGTTATGGAGAAAGCAAGCTGTATCTTCTTAAAGTGACGTACGAAAGCAGTGATACTAAAGATGTCAGTATCAAAAAACAAAAAATTGGTTTCAGAAAAGTGGAGTTAGTTCAAGATAAGTTAACCAATGGTCTCTCTTTCTATTTTAAAATTAATGATGTGCCAATATTTATGAAAGGTAGCAATGAGATACCAATCGATATTTTACCCGAAAAAGGTCAAGATAAAACAACTATCAAACGCCTCCTTACAGCAGCTCGTGATGCTAATATGAACATGATACGTGTGTGGGGAGGGGGTGTTTACGAATCAGATTATTTCTATAGTCTAGCAGATGAATTGGGTATACTAATCTGGCAGGATTTCATGTTTGCATGTGGTATGTATCCAGCTACAAATATATTTTTGGACAATGTTTTGCTAGAAGTAAAGCACCAAGTGAAGAGATTATATAGCCACACAAGTGTCATAATTTTTTCTGGTAATAACGAAAACGAAGGTGCTTTACGTCAAAATTGGTACCACACACTTTTAAATTTCACTATTTATTATCAAGATTATGTAAAGCTCTATGTTACAACAATCAAATCAGAATTCCTAAAAATAACACATAATAGAGGTCTATTTATAACATCGAGTCCTACCAACGGCAAGGAATCTGATGCAGAAGGATACCTTGCTCAAAATCCAGCGAGTACCCTTTACGGAGACGTCCACTTTTACAATTATATTTTAGATCCCTTCAATCCAAATTTTTATCCTACCCCAAGATTTGCTTCTGAATATGGGTACCAATCCTTGCCCTCCATTCAATCATGGTTATCGGTTACCAACAACCTCAGTGATATTGACATTAATAGTGCTTTTATGAACCACAGACAACATCATCCGTTAGGAAATATAGAACTACAGACTCTTATTCTATACAACTTTAAGGAACCATTTTTAAATTCGTATTTTGATGAAGCCCTCATCTACTACTCTCAAGTGGTACAGGCAATGGCTGTAAAAATAGAGACAGAACATTATCGAATCTACCGCAGTAATTTAAATGGAGAAGGTGAAGGATATACAATGGGCGCTCTTTATTGGCAGCTTAACGACGTTTGGGTAGCTCCAACCTGGTCTGGAATTGATTACATGGGAAGAAGAAAGATGTTGCAATATCTTGCTGGTAATTTTTTTTCCCCAATAATGGTGGTTGGTCACATTGATAGCAAGAGGGATTTACTGATTTATGTAGTTTCAGACCTGTTATCCCCAATAGAAAATGTCACTGTATCTCTAAGAGTCTACAACTTTACTAGTTTCCAGCCTGTTGCTACTACCTACATAAACATTACACTAGAAAGTGGATCGTCTGCGTTAATAAAAACAATTCATACTGATAATTATTTGTCAACTTTAGGTTGTGGTCTGCCAAACATCGCTAGAAATAATTGTTTCTTTTATCTTTCCCTCACAAATTATGGAGTTTCAATTGCTCCCGATAATTTTGTACTACCAGCTGCTGTCAAGTACATAAATTTGACCTCTGCCGAAGTTAAAGTAACATCAGTAAACCAACTAAGTGACAACGGAGAGTTTAGAATTGAAATTACCAGTGACAAGTTTGCGCTGTTTGTTTGGATAGAGTCGCCAGCAGTAACAGGGACATTCTCTGAAAATGGATTCCTGATAATAAATCCTAAAACAGAAGTTTATTTTAAGACCTACGAACAAACTACTGCGGATAATTTATTGAAAACTTTAACTATAACTCATATTTTGAATAAAAATTACTTTTCAGCGTGATAATTTATGTAATGTTTGAACTAAATTTAGACAGATAAAAATTTATTTGCATTTGTATTCGTTATAAAAATAAAAGTTTCTACATACAAATATCGTTTTAAATTTCCTCTTTTTATTCGATAATTCTTCATATGTCGAAGTTTATATTGTCTATGTGGCTTGGCGACTGTGTATGTGAGAGTAATATCACGTGATAACTATTTAGCTCTAACGAAGAGTCGAAAAATATTAGTTAATAACCAAAAAAATATAGACAGCAAATCACGGGCCAAACTTAAAAACTATGGGCAGACATACATAAATCGTTGTAACAAAAGTAAAACGTAAATTGACAGTTTAATTTGACAATTGACAGATAAAAACATCAGTCACGAAGCCTAACCAGTCGAACAGCGACGTTGTCGGATTGAGAGGGACATTCACTGTACCCTAAAATTGAAAATAAAGTTGAACTTAAACTTAAAACGTTCAAACTCAAAAGAGAAACAAATCTTTCGAAGGGGCCACTGAAGGAGAGTTTTTATTGTTGATGAAGTGTAAAATGATTTCCAGTAAATCAAAGTGGAAATTACGAACACAAAGCCTAACAAGTCGAACGCCAACATTACCGGATTGAGAGAGAAACCTAAAGTAGCCTAAAATTAAAAAAAAAACTTCTTTTTCTTCAAGTGCCATCTCCGCGTGTAATGTGTCCAAGATATTCTAATTTTCTTGTTTTTATTGTATTTAATATTTTCATTTCTTTATTCATCCTTCCCAGAACCTCTTTGTTTGTGACGTGTTCTGTCCACGATATTTTCAGTATTGTTTTGTACATCCACAGCTCGAATGATTCCAGTTTTTTTATTGATGTCGCGTTTAAGATCCAAGATTCAATTCCATAAAATAAAGTCGAAAAAAATAGCACCTCGCCAACCTAACTCTTAGTTTCAGTTTTAAATCCCTGGTACATAGCACTCTTCTCATTCTGTTGAAATTTGCTCTAACCTTTTATATTCTTATTTTGATTTCCTAATTGTAATCATTTGTGGAGTTAGTCATTGTTCCCACATATGCCTATTTGTCCACTTATTCGACGCTGGTTCCGTTTATTAGAAGATTCTCGTTATTTCTTTGAGTTTTCGATATTCTCATAAATTTCGTCTTCTTGACATTCATTGCTAGACCATACTCTTTTTCATACTCATTCTGGTCACCAGTCTCTGAAGATCTTCAATGTTTTCGTCTAAGATTCGTCACGTTTCGTCACGTTTCGTCACAGTGTCGTCCGAATATCTAATGTTGTTAATCGGAACTCCATTTACCTTTATTCCAGCTGTTTCACCCTCAAGAGCTTTTTTCAGGATCTCTTCCAAGTAGGCATTAAAAAGAATTGGCGACAATACGCATCCCTGTCTCACTCCATATCTAATTTCAATTTCTTGTCACAGCTGTTTGTTAACACGTACTTTTGCTCGCTGTTATATTATAAATTTAATATTATCCTTAGGTCGTTGTAGTAAATTTTCTTTGATTTCAGGACATTCATTAATTGTTTATGTCGTACTTTATCGAATGCTTTACTATAGTCAATAAAACATGCGTTTTTATCTTGATTGATATCCAGGCATCTTTGTATCAGTATATTCAGTGAAAAAATAGCTTCACGCGTTCTGAGGTCTTTGCCAAAACCAAATTGTGTATCATTAACGTCTATGTCTAAGTTTGTGATATATTCGGTTATGGATGATTTTAAGTAGTAACTTTAGCATTATCGATTTTTATTTGTCTCCCTAAAAAGAAAAACTCATAAGAATGCAGCGATTACCGCACCATTAGCTTGATGTCTCATAATATGAAAGAAAAATCGATGTTAACCACTCTTTGGGTAATAGGCCTGAACTATAAATTTGGTTCAAGAGTGTCACTAAAACATCAATGTATTTTTCGTCTAAAATTTTTAGGATTTCTATAGGAAGCATTTCAGGTCCAGGACTTTTCCCAGTCTTCATTTTTTTAATGCGTGTAATATTTCTTCTTTTGTAATACATGGACCTATTTCTTCTGACGTAAGTTTTATATGCTTCAGATCTCCTCTTTTATCATCGAACAATTCGTCGATATATTCTGCCCATCTTGGTACTTTCTTGTCCGTATGTGTTATAGTAGTCCCGTGTCTATCCAGAATTGCACGAGTGGGATTTTGTTTTCTTAGTCCTGCCAGTTCTTTAACTTTCTTGTGTAGGTTAAACAGATCATATTTATTTTAAAGGTCTTTGATCTCTTTGCATTGCTCTTCAAAGTATTTTTCTTTTGCCTGCTTCATCTTCCTGATCTTGTAGTTTATCTTTCTGTATTTGTTGTTGTCCTTGTTTTTAAATTGTCTCCGTTGTTCCATCATATTGCGTTTCTCGTTATTCATCCATTCTTCTTTTCTCCTTGCGGAAGTCTTTAATATTTCTTTACAGGGTTCCATTAGACAATGTTTTAGTCGATTCCAGTACTCGTCAATATCATTGGTGTTTGTGTTCAATTTGTTGTAGTTCACATGCAGTTCATGTTGGAGGCATTCTTTTACTTTAGGTTCTTTGTTTAAATACTTAAATATTTACTTACAAGTTTTCTTGTATTTATTGTAGGGATTCTTTGATTTTTTTATATGTTTAAGGGTAAGTGTAATCTTGGCAATAAGTGGATTGTGATCTGAGGCCACGTCTGGTCCAGGATATGCTTTCACGGCTTTAAGAGCATTACGATATCTTTCGTTGATCATAATGTAGTTTATCTGGTTCCTGACTACTTTCTCCGATGTATCTGCGGGCGATCGCCATGTGTACAGTCGTCTGTTTGGTAACTTGAAAAATGTGTTTGTAATAATAAAGTTTTGCTCTTGACAGAATTGTAACAAACGGTCTCCTCTCTCCTTTCGATTTCCCAGACCATAGTTTCCTATACACTTTTAGAGACACTATACTTTCCTATACACTAGACAGAATATAAACTATTAGAAGAAGCAAAAAAATAAAGAGCAATAATATTGCAGAAAAATATCAAGGTCCTCTGGATTTGATAGAATACCCGCAGAATTCTCGATTATAGATAAGCCGGTAGAAAATAACGAAAAAAATATACCATAAAGGGCCATAAATTCCTCTGTCAAAACCGTAGAAAAATCTCCTTGCTGTGTGGTGTACATAAAACATTTACCAGTATACTTAACCAATAGCAATAACCTATACCAATATACTACAATCCCTCGCAGAGAAGATTATCGAAGAATATCAAGCAAAGTTTCTGTAAACTATTGATAATCTATTCAAGTTCGAGCAGAGCCTGGGAATATGTCATGTCATAGACGTCTATAATATTTTCGTCGACTTTAAACAAGCATATGACTCAATAAACAGGGCACATGTATTCAAAATATTCAAATGACGGTAACGGACACAGTGGCTCTGGTACAAATACAACTTGAAATGACAGATTAATTTCAAATAACGCAAGGAGGATTAAAACAGGGTGATGGGCTGGCAATAAAACTGTTTCATTTAGCACTAAAATGCGTAGTGTGAAAACGGCAGAAGGTAGAAAAAACACATTTATCTATAAATCAGTCAAACTGGTAGCATATGCTTCTCTTCTTGTTCTTCTTCTTTTTATATACACATAACTCTGTCTGTTTTTCAATGTGCCTCCAGTAAGTTTTCATTCCATCGTTTTCGTGGTCTTCCTATTAGGAAACTGTCTCTTGCCGTCTTTACTACTCCATCTACTGTCCCATAGTATCTAATCATCAATTTTTCCAAGTGTTTTCATCTCTGCTGTTACTAACATCCATTTTATCCTCTCTGTATCAGGTCTTGTTTCTGCCTCGTATGTCATTATTGGTCTAATTACTGTTTTGTAAATTCTGCCTTTCGTTTCTTTCCCAATACATATTTTTATTTCTTCATATTTTTTCATTTAGGCAGCCTGTGGCTATTTTTTCTCTATTTACTCGATCTTCCACTTCAGTTTCGAGCTTTTTATAGCTAGATAATGTGATGCCTAGATATTTAAACTCCATCACTTGTTCTATTATCTGACCTGCATGTGGGACAGATATCCAAGTTTTTGTACCTTGATTTAAATCTGAAGTTGAGTTTTTGCCCTTTTTAAGGCTTCCTCGTTTCTCACCCTACCTGTCCATGGTATGCGGAACATTCTTCACAAGGTCTCCATATTTTGAAGATTTGTTAATGGAGGATATTTTTAACGCCCATGTCTCCATGCCATATTACAACATGGACCATACATAGTATTTCACCACCCTGTAGCGGAGATTGCAGGAAAGATTGTGGTTACATAGTAGAAGTTTAAATTTAATAAAAGCTTGTCTTGCTTGTCCGGTACGGCATTTTATTTCTTAAGTAAATACTTAAGTAGTTAAATATTTTCACTTTCTCAGTTGGAGTGTTATGTACTAGTAGCTGTACTCTTAAAAGTGCATGTTTCTCTTATTGCCATACATTTAGTTTTTCCAACATTTATCTTTACGTCATACATTTTTCTTATGGTATTTATTTTATTTAGCATCTATTATGTAAATATCTCGAGAGTACTCGATAAATAACGAATGTTATGTAATGTAATGTAATGTAATGAATAACGAATGTTATTTATCGAGTACTCTTTGACGTTTACACCATACTGAAACTGTTGAGTGCCTCTGCAAAAACATTCTACACATAGAGGTTAAACAGCTCATGAGACAAAATACATCCTTGTCGCATCCCATTTAAAATTTCAAATTCCTTTGTGTTCATTGATACGTATTATGGAACTTTATATGCTTAACAAATTTGTCTGTCAATAAACACAAACATCATCCTAACTAATACATAAAGATATTAAAATTACGAAACCTTTATCAAACTATTACGATAGGAATCTACACGATCATAATACAACCGATGCTGACCTGTGGATGTGAAACTTTGATCTTGACTCAAAAATCTGTACATGGCGTGGACATCTTTAAAAGAAACGTACTCAGGCGAATACTAGATCATAACTATAATATATAATTATATATATATATATATATATATATATATATATATATATAT